ATGATGTGTGAGTTTATTACACTTTAAAGTCATAGGGAAGCGACTGTTCCAAATGTTGTATTTTCTAATTCTCCCGAGTGGTGCCCGACTTTACACGAGTGAATAAAGTGAATGTGATTGGTCATTCATCAAGGGGGCGGGATTGTTGTGGCCAAAGGTTCGCAAGCACGTTTGGTTGTGGCCAGTGTCTCAGGAGCATCTTGCTAACCAGTTAGCAACTTATTGCTAGTAGGTTCCCAATGGGAAATTCCATTGGGACCAAGTAGCACTAAATTGGTGACTTAGAAACAACACTATCAAGGAACGCTTTGGACAGCGGAAACATGCAAGAGAAGGAGAGTTTTGTGTCGTGGATGAGTCTCCTCCGTCATCCATTTTTTATTTAGAGGAGGAAAGTGGGGACAAGGTTGTTGTACTGGAGAAGAGGACGCCAGGGCGGCAGCAGCTTGGTTTGGTGTAGAAGGCTTCCAGCCGTACATGTTTGAGCCCTTGCCTCGCAACGCTGCCTGTTCTGTTAGCTCTACGCCTGCTGACGACACAGACGTCCATCCCCGTGAACACTGGGACGCAACTCAATGGGAAAGGAAATTATTCTTATTTCAACTGTTGCGTATATTAGCTGCGACATATGAATCAAGATGCTATGACCGAAAAAATTTGATTGACAGATGACCATTGATATATGATTGGCCGAATTTAGGTGTACAAGCTGACATATAACTAACGAGCCTGCATAGGTAACGAAACAAAAAACCCACAGATTTTAAGACAGGATTTTTTTTTTATAGAAATTTTCTAACTTTTTGGACAATATGGTCTGATAAAGAGTACATTTATAAAAATGTTTAAGCCAGAAACCTTATAATCTATTCAGTTAAAGCAACCATTAAAAAACATGTCCTGTTTGTAGCTATCTCCATGTTCAGGATAGATCTGACTCGATCCTGTAGAGCAAAGCGGTCCTTTAACCTAAACATCTGATGACTGGTTCTTCAGGGCCCAGGCAGATGGGAGCTTTGGACTGACCAGCTACAGACTGCACCCCCCATACGCAGAGACATGCAGTTCAACGAGATCATCGTGCCCACCGAGAACACCGTACGCTACATGGCGCTGATGGAGCTCCTCGTTACTCACCAGAGGCCGACTATTTTCATCGGCCCCACTGGCACCGGGAAGAGTGTCTACATCACTGTGAGTCATGCAAACATTGGTGTTTTATCTGTGAGCAGCTTGAAAAGCGTGTGAGGATTTATGTGAAACCAAACATGAACATGCATGAAAGGACTATGTGGTACAGGGTTAATCTACACAGCAAATAGGAAAACGTAAAAATGTTTTACATTTTGGTCATTCAACCTTAATTTGACGAGGTAAATACGATGATTTGCCAGTGGAGTTAGTATTTTTATCCTTACAATAAGATAATTCGACAATATGCACTTGAATTAAGACAGAACAGTTGTTTTGTCTTATTTCAAATGTAAATTGTCTTGTTCCATGGGCAAAGTGTCTCACTTTCTCCTCAGTTCAAGAAAAATGCACTTATTTTAAGAATATATGACTTATTTAGGGTTCATTTTTAACAGTGTACAGCAGCAGGTTTCTGTCAGACTTTATCTCTAACATTGTTTTGAATAAACGTTGGCCCACTCCTCTGTAGACATTCCTACATAGCTCTCTGAAGATCCCAGGTGAGCATTTCATCAGGTTGAGGTCTGGTCTTTCACTGGACCTCTGCCACAGCTTGAGCCGTCTCTTTTTCTGCTATTCTGTTGTCGACTTTCCACCAGATTTTCTATCAATCTGCTTCAGTTGTTGGACAGATGGTCTGACATTTAACCAAAGAATATTTTAGTTAACGATAAGTTCCTGGTCCTTTCACATTCACTCAGCCCCTTATCAGCAAGCTCATAAAAGCAAAAGTCCGATCAGCAAGGAATAATCAATGGATCATTATCTATACCTAAAATTAATACATTTGAGGTGATTTAATTAACTTAGCGTTTATCAGTTAAAAAAAGAAAATAATAATTTTGCGTTGCGAGTCAGGAGCGGCCATTTTTGCCCAAATATAGTAACACCTCACTCCTGATATCTTCCGGCAGTGAGGTCACAGTGCAGTAAGCCTAGCGCCATTTTATTTTTTTCATTTTTTAACACCTTTTTTACAGATTTAATATTTTCAAATTTTCTTACAAATTTGTCTTTTTCAGATTAGGTTTTATGAATTGCATTCTTTTAAACTATAATGTACAGATCACATTCTCTCAGAAAATGATTTACAAAATAAATGTAAAAAAAAAAGAAAGAAAGAAAACAAATGAAATATGGAAAAAATTTTGGACAAAAATCTAATTATAAAAAAACCCCAAAAACATTAAAGTTACTCAAACTTTTTTTAATAAAATTTTCAGAATTTTATTTCTGGATTGCAGTTTTTTCACATTTTTATTTACTTTTTTAAATATATATTCATGTAGAAAAGATTATCTTGCAGCAATAATGGAAGAAAAAATTCACCCCACAGTCTTATTGCTTTTAGAAAGAAGAGATGCTCCAGCCTTTGTAATGCCGACTCTGTCTGTTGAGCTGAGCCAAGGTGAAGGTTTTAATTTAACGGTTCCTACCTTCACCTATTGTAATAAAATCTGTTTAATGACCAGAAGAACAAGATCCAGTGACTGTCTAAGTGATAAAACGAGGAACTTGGTCATCTGGGAGACGCTCAGAGTAGAGCTGCGTCTTCTCCACATGGAGAGGAGTCAGCAGAGGTGGCTGGAACATCGGTTTCTGATGGCAAACCACCAGGAGGAGGCCCAGGGGACGACCGGCTGGCCCTGGCAACACCTCGGGCTTCTTCCAGAGGAGTTGGAGGAGACGTGTGAGGAGAGGGAGTTCCTAGGTTCTCTGCTAAGACCGGTGCCTCCATGACCCGGTCCAGGATGAGCAGAAGGAACAACAGGACCATTTAACTAGCCTCGTGAGACCATCCTGATCTCGCGAGCTTT